GAAGAATGAGAGCAGCAAAAGGGGAAAGTATGGCCGCCTGGAAACCAGTGATTGAAAGCGATATTACTAAACACCAATTAAAAAAAATCTCTTCTAAAATATCCAAGGACACCCTCCTTTACTCCTGAAAGAAGAAGAAAAAACTCCAAGTATGAAGTATGGAAAAAAATCTAATCGTGCACCCTGTGTTGAGGCTGAAAAAAAAGATACCAAAATGTGCTCTGTGAAGTCTTGGAAAGTGCAATTTCACGGCTCGACCTCTGCCCCTGCAGGTGGAAGGGACCTGAGGGTGGGGAATGGGCGTCCAACATATCCTGTGTCGTACAGCCCTCCGCTGTCTGTCGACTCCTCAGAGAGGCAGTGGAAGTTCTCAGCATGACAAGCTCTCAACTTACACGTAGAACGTTTTGGCAGGAAGTGAAGGAGCTCTGAGAAAAGTTCCTCTAAAGGTTTCAAAAAGCATATGTGTGTGTGTGTGTGTGTGTGTGTATGGTGTGTGTGTGTGTGTATGGTGCGTGTGTGTGTGTGTGTGTGTGTGTGTGTGTGTGTGTGTGTGTGTATGGTGTGTATGAGCATCTGTGCATGTGCCTGTATGCACATGTGCGTAGAGGGTATGTGAATGTATAGGTTTGTATGTGTATGTGTGTGGATGGTGTGTGTGAGCATCTGTGCACACATGTGTGCATGTATGTGCATGTGTGTGTAATCTGTGTGTATGTATGGTGTGTGTGTGTGTGTGTGTGTGTGTGTGTGTGTGTGTGTGTGTTTGGAAAGAAAAAGTATGATGCCTCCCCCTGCTTCCTGATATGTTTCCTTTCTTAAGTTTTCTGAAATGTCGACTCAACTAGATTAATAACTAGTATTATGAGGAAGAATGAGGAAGGAATCTCACAGGAAAACCAAACATGGACCCCTGCACCCAGGGAGTTTACAATCCATCTCACAATATTCTTTTTAAAGTTGATGATGTAATAAGTATTTTAAAAATTCAAGGTGAATAGAAAGTGAGCCTCTGCTGAATCTGGAATAAGGATGTGAATTTTAAGCTACACACACACACACACACACACACACACACACACACACACACACACCACACACACACACACACACACCACACACACACACACACACACGCCTAAAGAGAATGGAGGAGAGAGAAGTATTCTAGAAACAAGAGCTAGCACTAGGGAAGGCTCACATACAGGGGGAAAAAATGCTCACCAAGGAAGCTTGTTGGGTGGAAGGACAGCATGAGAGAGAAGTTCTGATCTATTCTATGTTACAATAATGAAATACTTTAGAGAGGCTATCTTTATAAAGAAAGAAGCATGAGCTCACGGTTCCGGAGGTTGGGAGACTGTTTGTGTCGGGGTCATCTTGTTTGCAGAGTCTCGTAGCAGTGTAACATTGCATGGCAATGATAAGAAACAGAGACTGGATACCAGTGGTAAGTCTATCTGGTCTCTCTCCTTCTAAGGCCATGAGGATTCAATCACAGAAGCCCCTCCTATGATCTAAAGCTAAACGCTTTGCGAAGTTCCTACCTCTGTACACCACAGTCAGATTAAGTGTCCACCCTCTTTATACCTCACAAAAGGAATTGCATTGGAGACAATGCAAACTACGTCCAAACCCCAGCAAGTATGAAGCATGGCCCATGCACCTGCGTAGATGTCCACAGCTTTTCAAACTGTTCAGATAGACAAAGAGAATCTGCTTCTAGTTGTCTAGTATCTGATATAAGCTGCAAAACAGAGAGCAAATATTGGAGTAGGTGTGTGAACAGGACTGTGGCCTCTATTCTAGAATGAAAAAATATGTTATTTCTTAGAGAAACGATATTAATTATGTGATGGCTCAGAAGTTGGTTTTCTTACCCTATGTTTTTTCTGTGATCCATAACACTGGGTGAAATTCAAGCCCATAAGCAGGCATTCACAGGGAAATAATATCAGAGGAAAAACAGCCTGCAGAGAGAATTCAGTTCTAACAAATGTTCTTCAAATTCTAGCCACACCGGGTACAAGCTGATAATTCAAACTAATGTTATTTTAATGTCACAAGTCTGGAGGACAGGAGAATCCACTGGATGGGCAGGATTGGTATTTGTAGCAAAATATAAGGTGACATGGTTATTACAAGCTAACCAGATGTATTTAAACAGAAACAAACCCCACGTTCCAGTGCAAGGCGCAGAACGTGTGCGTGGATAACATAAGCAGAAAGCACTAGGAATCACAAATGCAATGTGCTTTCTCCTCATAGAATGGAATCCAATTTGGGCTGTGTTTAAAGAGGTCAGTGTCCAGAGGCAGGGCAGGGACAGTCTGGTCTATTCTACCCAGACAGCATCATGTGGTGTCACCACACACTCTAGAGGAGAATGTGGAGATCCAAAGTTGGGTACAAGGACAGTCTTGTTCACTACAAGGCGAGCAGACAAGACCACAGTCTCCTCTGAGGAAATTATGCCCAATGTGTAATTCTATTCCCAGCCACACTGTGACTCCAGAGTAGAAGTCAACTTCCTGGTAAGATAGGGGACTGGATGCTGCCTCTGTGTGACAAAATGAAGTGTCAAACTCGGAAGACGAATGGACTCCGTTACAAAGAAAGAAAGCGAGAAAGAGAGTCAGAGGTCCAGGAAATGGATGGTAGGACAGCTGAAAATTGCAAAAGGAAAAGCTCAGAGCACCAAAAAGAAGAAAGGCAAGCCCGGCACAACTCCACCTGGGGGCCTGGAGGCAAAAGCCTCACCTGAAAGGTAGCCCTGGTGAATAGAAGTTGGCGTGGCCGCCCACAGGACAAGCCCACAGCCTCACAAGTAGCAGAACTGGTTGCAGGTTCACTGAGCATAGATTACTCTGCTCAGCAGTAGAGAGACACATCATCAGTCCAGACAGTACCTGCCAGGCGCCATCTTGAGAGAGAGCCCATTGTTTTAGCCTGAGCTACCCCGGGGGCCTGGAAACCAGGAACACTGTAATAAGAGAACCTGAGTTCAACCTACCACAGCCCCCAGGTGAGAAACTGCATTGGGAAGTAAGAAAGGCCTAAAGCAGGAAATCCGCAGAGTCTATTTAATGAGCAAAGGAATTTATTAGGGGGTAACTCACTACAGCATGGGAGATTTAATCATAGGGTCCGGGAAAGCCGAGCTCTGTGTCACACTGATCTACCTGGTCCAAGCTCTGCCTGGTCAGTCCCAGCATCCAAACCACGAGAGAGCCAAGAGAGCACCACATACATGCATCCCAGGTCTTAAGTGTCCCGAGCGGCCACGCCCCAGGAGCATGTACTTCAAGGTCATAGACAGGTGTAGCAGTCACCTGCTGCCTCTCTAGGACTGTGCTTCAAGGTCATAGCTGGAACAGCTACCCATTACATGGGCCAGATGCTGACAAGTCAGAGTAAGGAAAGCCAGAGATATGGCCCAGGCAATCATGTCTAGGGAAAGCTAGACCCATCTTTGGTGTCTGGGAACAGAGGTCATCAACTGGAGCTAAAGCTGCAGTTCAACAGCCTTGAGCCTGAAATCAGCAGGTAGATCAACCTCTGGACCCAACTACCTGCCATGAAGCTCACCGCTGTAGAGTCCATGAACCCGGACCCTCCACAGCTACAGCTCTCCGCTGATGTTCAGTCAGTTCAAAAGTTCAAAGGCATGACCAGCTCTTAGCACTGTGATTGCTTCCCCAACTCCCAACACTCTGGAAGAAACCCTGTCCATCCCCAAGCCCAGCTAGGACATTAGCCACGTTAGGTGCTACAAGCCAGGGAGATTGGGAGAGCCTGCTTACTCTACAGACAGGAAAACAAACGGTGGACAGTGGTGGTTCCCATTATGAGGAGGGTGAGGAAAATCTGCTGAAGATAAATATCAGACACTTGTCCAGTACAGGCTAATCAGGAGGAGCTATAAATATTACATACAAAAATAAATCAAAATCCTCCAGGGCCTGTGAGATGGCTCCAAGGATAAGGGTGCTTGTGTGGTAAACCTTGTGACCTGGATTCCATCCCTGAAACTCATCCAATGGTGGGATTGAAGGGTCCAGGAATATAGAAATATAAAATGACAAGCTTAAGAGATAAAAACTGACCACCATCAGCTCTAAAGGTTCACTGCTAACAATGACTCTCTGCCTTACAGCCAGCTCCTCTGTCAGCAGTCAGGGGTTAACTTTAACCCCCTTGCCCCTTATAGCCAACAACTGCCTGGACCAAAGTTAACTTTTAATAGTTGTTTCTATGTGACCTCTAGCGTACATCCCATGCCTGATGGTCGTACATGATTCCCGTGTCTGATACTATAAAAGGGGACCAATACCGCCTCCATTGCCACAGCCCCAGAATTCCAACATTGGCTCTGGTCTCTGCTAGCTGATAAGCTTTTGTATCCTGCAGTGTTTTATTTTTATTATTTTTATTTTTATTTTCTAGAATAAAGTTTGCTTCTGGTTTAATAGACTTTGATAGTCTGTCCCCCATTATTGCATGACCCGGATCCAACAGTATAAGAAAACTTAATTCACAACATTATCTTCTGGCCTGCACACACAGACCATGGCATGCATGCTTACAGACAGAGAGATGGGGGTGAAAATAAATTTCAAAAACCGTTTAAACCCACCCAGTTAATAAACGGGCTAATAAATTGAATAGAGAGATGTAAAGGGGAAAATGTTAGTGGCTAATTAATATTTGGAAAAGTTACTCAACACCCTCAGCCATAAGGAAAAGGCAAATTAAATCTATTTTGACATTCCATCAGCCCAGTTAGTATTGCTATCACCAAGAGATCAGAAAACAACAAATGCTGATGAGGATGTAGAGATAAGGAATGCTTATACACTGCAGGTGGTAATGGAACCTGGTAAGGCCAATATGGAGATTGCTCAAAACCCTAAATATAGACACACTGTATGATTCAGTTATGCCGCTGCTGAGTGTGTATCCCGAAAGTCCTCTGTCAGCACACAAAAAAAGATATTCACATAGCCATTGCAGCCCTCTTCCTAGCAGCTGAGGTACACAATCAGACAACACACTGACCAGTATATGCGTGTGTAAAGAGAATGTGGAACACACACACAATGGGGATTTGTTCAGCTGTAAAGAAAAATCAAATTATAACATTTACAGGAAATGGATGGAACTGGAAATCATTCTGCTAAACAAAGTAAGCTGGACTTAGAAAAACAAATACCATGTTTTCTCTCCTAGATGACATGTAGATGAAAATTATGTGTGTGTTTATATGCATGGTGCTATTTATTTATGACATGAAAGTAGAAAGGACATTACGAGAGGGGAAAAGGAACCTAAAAGGGAGGGTGTCTTAGTTAGGGTTTCTATTGCTGTGGAGAGACACCATGACCGTGGCAACTCTTATAAAGGAAAACATTTCATTGGGGTGGCTCCACTTACAGTTCAGAGGTTCAGTCCATTATCATCATGGCAGGGAGCATGGCGGTGTGCAGGCAGACATGGTGCTGGCTACATCTTGATCAGAAGGCACCAGGAAATGGACTGTGACACTGGGTGGTATCTTGAGCATAGGAAACCTCAAAGCCCACCCCCACAATGACACACCTCCTCCAATAAGGCCACACCCACTCCAATAAAGCCACACCTCCTAATAGTACCACTCCCTAGGAGATCATGGGGACCAATTACATTCCAAGCACCACGGAGGGCATGGTATATGCATGTTAGAAAAGCAGAAAGGGGGCAGTTAGTACTTAGGAAAAGGACCAGCGGAGGGGAGGGAAGGGAATGGGAAGGACAGAGGAAGGAATAAGAACAGCATAGAGTGATATATGTATGAAATTGTCGCAGTAAGACCCATTTCCTTGTCTGCTAAGAAAAAAAAAAAGTGACTTCAAACATAGAGGAAGACCCACTGTCTATATGCAAAAATCTTTTTAAAAATATGCTTCCTATGTTTGCTCTCTCGGGAAACTTGTAGCAGATAAAGTTTCTGCAGAAACAAAGGAGTAACTGAAAAAGAAGAAGAGGAAACGTGGGAGGCATTTTAACAGGAGATCGGGGCAAAAGAGGCAGAAAGGACTCCGTATACGAGAAGAAGGAAGTCTCCAGGCAATAACTGGCGGCCATTTTATAGAGCCACCATTCCAGATTAAAACAGGACAGCAAAAGGCCCTGAGATGAAGGGCCCCAGAAGAAAATAAAAATGATAGATCTTATGGCAGGCTCATAGGAAGGAAGAATGGATCGTGGGACATTTTATAGAGTTATAAGGGAAGTAGGAAAACTTATCAAGAGATTGGAAGAAAACTGAGTAAAATGTGTAAAGAGGCAAAAGAACTTCTGAAAAACCAAAAGGAGCCCACGGGAGAAAAAACATTGGTATGGAACTCTGTGCCCAACACTGAACAGAATCAGCATAGTTACTAACTATGAAAAGAGTGAATATGCATGTTATCAAATGCATGACAGAGATACAAGGAAATGAAATATGTATGAGTGATGAAATGTCGTGTCAGGAATCTATTTCTGTGGAACACACCACCCCCAAGCAGTGGTTTAAAACAACTACCATCTCACCTGCGCACAGTTTAGCAATTTGGGCTGGACTCAGAGGAGCATGCCTTCAGTCACCCCAGGGACCCGGGAAAGACAGACTATACAGAGCGGCTTCACATTCATGTTGAGGACCAGTGCTGGCTGGCAGCTGGCAAGGCTACAGGCCTCAGCCAGGGCACGATGCTCCTGTGTTTCCTGTGGGCTACCACACTCCTGCGGATAAGACTGAGCTTACCTACGGGAGCACCTCGGGGCAGTGCCCCACAAGGACAAGAGCAAAGGTGGAGATTTTCTCCCTCTGGTTTTAGAAGTGTCGTTGCCAGAATAGCCTACTGTTCAAAGCAAGTCACTGGGCCCTCCCACGGTCAAAGGGAAGAGAGCTAAATCCTGTCTCTTGATCAGGGACATCCAAGCATGGACAGGAGGATTTACTGTGGGCTCATTTCAATCCCTCCACTGTAACGGCACTTAAGACTTTATACCCGATAGTGAGAAGGCAGTGGAAAACAAAATGTGAAAAATCAGTAAATCATCATTTAGAAATGTGGAAAGAATGCAAACGGCTACGGAATCTGAAGCGCGGACTCTTCAGAAAGGGCAGAGTGGAGAGACGCAGGGGAGAGGCCGCTGGTGTCGTGAGTCACAGAGTACTCTCTGACACTTAAAACTTAGTATGTGATTACTGTTAAAAAGTAAAAGTCAGGGCTGGAGAGATGGCTCAGTGGTTAAGAGCACCGACAGCTCTTCCAGAGGTCCTGAGTTCAATTCCCGCCAACCACATGTTGGGTCACAACCACTTGTAATGAGATCTGGTGCCCTCTTCTGGCCTGCAGGGACACATGCAGGCAGAATACTGTATACATAATAAATAAATCAAAAAAAAATGCATACAAAAAAAAAAAAACGTAAAAATGAACAACGGGTTAGCTGAATTTACCAAGTATGGCCTATATTCCAAACAATTGAAAGCTGGGTCTTGAACAGACAGATATCCCAATGTTCATTTACAACAGTGTTATTAGTCAAATTAGCCAAAAGCAGAAACCTAAGGGTCCATCAATGGCCAAACAAAGTAAAATGTGGATGGACAGTGGAATGTACATGATCTTTGAAAGGAAGTAAATTCTGACCAACGCTACAGCACAGATGAACCTTGAAGACATTATGTTGAGGTAAGCCAGACACAGAAGACCGCTAATGCATGAGGTAGGTACACTTTCACCCAAAGCATCTAGGGTAATCAAGTTCATATGGATAAGGAGTAGAGTAGTGATTTCCAGGTGCTGGGTTGGGGGAAAAGATGAGTTATGATTTAATAAATTTAATAAAGATAGTTTGGGGGTTTGAAAAGATTTTTTAAAAGTCTGAAACTAGATGCTCATAATGGTTACAAGACAATACAAAGACACTCATAAATCCACTGAACAATGTGCTCAAAATGGTAAGATGGTGTTTTTATGTATTTATTACAACAGAAAATAAATATAGATGGTGTCCTGCCCCCTTTTCTAAAAAGTAAGATTGTCCATGAAAGGATGCTGGGGAATGACTCTGTCTTAGTCAGGGTTTCTATTGCTGCCACGAAACACCATGACCAAAACGCAAGTTGGGGAGAAAGGGTTTGTTTGGCTTACACTTCCACAGCACTGTCCATCACTGAAGGAAGTCAGGGCAGGAACCCAAGCAGGGCAGGAACCTGGAGGCAGGAACTGATGAGTAAGAGGAGTGCTGCTTACTGGCTTGTTCCCCATGGCTTGCTCAGCCTGCTTTCTTATAGAACCAGGGACCACCAGCCCAGGGATGGCACCACCCACAGTAGGCTGGGCCCTCCCCCATCCATCGCTAGTCAATAGGATGCCCTACAAGCTTGCCTACAGCCTGAGGCATTTTCTTAATTGAGGCTCCCTCCTCTCAGATGACTTTAGCTTGTGTCAGAGCCAACACAGACTCTTACAGGAAGGGGAAATTCTAAGGACTGTCGGCTTGCTCTCCTTTTTTATTCCTCCTTTTTTTTTTTAATCATAAGAAGACTTGACCACACTCATAAACTGAGTGAAAATAACTACTAGTGTGGACTTGGAGCTTCTCAGCCCTGAGAGGAGGAATATGGGGTGAGTGTCTGGTGAAGGTCTCTGAGAGAGTAAATGAGGCTTCCTCCCATTGGATGTGATAAAGACATCTGGGTGAGCACCCCCCCCCCCGTCATGGAATTGCCACAGATGACAGCCACGTCTCCCTGTAAAGTCATACATGCCTCAAAAAAAACCCTACAAGTGAAATACATCAGCTGACAGGAGCATTTACCAAGCCCTTCCCATTTATCAATCTCTCTGACTGGTGAACTAGTCGGAGAGGAAGAGAGCATTTTTATACAGAATATCAGAATCAAAATCCCTGCACATTGTCAGGAGTGTCTCTCAAAGGAGTGAGCTATAAATTCTCTTCTGGTTTAAAGGGCAAAGTCTCTAGACATCACAGAAGAACAAGTCCCGGATTATGTGGCTCCTGGTAGTCAAGGTCATCTGAGTCTGCTGGGGATGAGTAACAGGAGAATCCATCTGGGCGTTGACAAGGTAGAAGAAGCAGTGGAGAGAGGAGTGAGTACCCCAGAGCAACCACGAAAGAGATGGTTTTCCCCAAACGAAAAAGAGGTCAGAGATGGTGTTACATGGTGTTCAGTCTTTACCTAATAGGCTCATGCCTCCCATCCATGCAGGACAATACATAGTCTCAGGTACGGTGGCCTCCTTAATACTACAGGAGAGTACAGAGACATTTCCATCCCATGCAGGATGGCAGACAAGTCTCTGAGAAGGCTTGGCATCTCCAAGAGGGAGAGAAAGCTCCCATATCCAAGGGGGAAAGGAGTATCCTGGAGATGCGCTCTGAGACAGAATTGGCATCCTCCTGCCTAGGCCAAGATACTAGGATAATCTGAAATGAGCTCATTAAAATTTGATGTTCTCTACAGAAATGTATTGTTGCTAAATCTGGAGGGGAAGAATATGAAAGGAAGTTATCCCATCCACATAAGCACCTGAGGCAGGAAAGCAGCTCCATGGTAGCTTCCTTCCCTAGCCTGAGCTTTCTGTTCTTTTGAAATAGCAACTCACCACGTGTGATACGGGAGGGCTGGTAAAATTTCTTCGAGCCATGACCATTCTTCAAAGACAAGAACTTTATCAACTCATAAGTAAAGAACAGCAATAAAACACTGCAACCACTCTAATTTTCCAACCCTATACACTGACAGCTACATTCATCTACTTCATTCTACTACATTCGTCTGGCAGCACACGCGATAATAGATGGTCTAAAATTAGAAGCAACAGCTATTTCAACACCGTTCCTTGAGCCTTTCTCTGTGGACACCAACCTGAACCTCCAAAGACTTTCTATCCCCAAGGTTCTCTCACCCCGAAATTCTAGGGGCAGTCTTAGCCTCTGACCCATCCAAGGTCTGATCCTATCATCTTGGCAGGACTTGGGTTTTGGAATCTATGTTTCCATGACAACCATGCACCATTCTACAATCTACCTCTTCAGGCAGCATTTTATAGATTCTTTCTGGAGGAAATGGGGAGCAGGGGGGAAGGGGAAAAGGGGAGGAGAGGCAGGTGATAAAATTAGAAGAATTAGGAGAGGAGGGAAGTTGGTGTTAGGAGGGAAGAGTCACTACATCCGGGACCAACTTACCCTACAGCCTCGGGATATAAACATTATTACACTGCTCAATCTCTGGAAGACATTGGAATCGTTCTATTGTGATTTTTTTCTCTCTCTCCCCCCCGCTTCCTTCTCTTTTTCCCACCCTGAAACTCCCAGCACCACCCTGGCTTTTCTCAATATGTTTTACCTGCATGAACGTTCCTCATGGAATTTCTACCAGCCAGTCCTCTGAAGTTTGCTCCCCTTCCTTTTGAACATTTAATATACAGACATGAGCAGGGGGTCAGCTTCCAATGGTGAAGCCACTAATCATTACAACACTCAAATTGCAGACCCCTGGAGTAGGGAAAATTGATTTTTACCATGGCCAAGAGTGTGGGGGGTACATCCAGGACCTTGCTATGAAGGGAAGCACAGCTGGTCACCATACCACAAACTTCCAACTTCACAAAACTCCTAAGGCTGCACTAATCTTCAAGATGCTGCAAAAACTGTGTGTGCGTATGCGTGTGTGTGTGTGTGTGTGTGTGTGTGTGTGTGTGTATGTGTGTGTATGTGTGCATGTGTGAAGTATGCGTTCACGTGTGTG